TGCTGTTATCTCACTGTTGTCTTGATTTTCCTCACTTACTGCCGATATGTCATTCTTATTTACTTGAACTAAATTTGGGAGGTTTTCTTCTGGTGTACTTATAACTTCGGTTTCCTTATTTTTTTCTTTCTTATCGGTTATTGTCTGTTTCTTCATATAATCTTGTGCCTCTATTTTTAAGCGGAGAAAGGTTTCCTGACACTGTTCAATCCATTGCTCTTCTTCTTCGAACTGTTCGTCATCTTCTATTAACATTGTCACTTCTTCATGTTTAGCCTCAAGGTCAGCGTACGCCTTTTCGTAATTGTCTAGCGCCTTTTGAATCTCTTCGTTCGACCGCTCCCCCCCGATTTGTACAATAATAACTTTTCCTAGGCGTGTTAATGTCGATTTTCCGTTTCTTCGTTTCATCTTAGCTTTCTTTAATGTCTCCTCAATATCCTCGGTCGGTGGCATTGTAAATATCGTTGTTTATCGTCGCAAAATTCGTCTCAAATTCCTCGGAATACGTGGTTAGCAAGAAATCGAATAGTGTTTCCTCAGAACAGAGACGACCGGTTAGCAAAATCCATATAAACACACATGCACACGCAAAGGAAGTATCGCAAATCGTATTATTGATAAATTAATAACGAATCATTAAACATACCAAGGTACAATTCGATCTATATAAAGTAAATAAAGTAATTAAATAATATTTAGATATCGTAACTTAAATCCAATATTACTAGGCTATATGTGTCAATAAACTGTTCGAAAATGTCTTACTTCTGTGGCGATATTCCTTAGATAATAGTGCATCCAACTTAGTTCCTGGTTAGCCGTATATTTTTAACAAAACTATGTATTTATTTCCCTTAAATATAAACCTAAACAGTTCGATCTGTATTTCATTGTCTGATGCAATCGTTAAGTGCAAAGTTCACTTCCGGCGTTCGTGCGGTTCACGTGAATACCACGCTACCGATCCAGTACTTGTTCAAAATACTGTTTTCTTCTAGAAAAACATTTAAACGTGCATTAAGAATTGAAGTGAAAAATTTTCCTAAACAGCTAGAGATGCATATGCCTCTGTAATTTCCAGGATCAGTTTTATTTCCCGATTTGTGTATAGGAGTAATAAGGCCTTCCGACCATATTTTTGGGAAAACTCCACTAGATAAAATCTTATTAAATAGTTTCACATAGTGAGGAGCTAAACTAATAGATGATATTTTAATAATTTCATTATTAAGTGAATCTTTTGCGCTTGCTTTGTTAAGTTTGAGTTTTCTAGAGATGTCGTGAATTTCTTTTAAAGAAATAGGTTTGTCAAGAATCTCAACACCACTGGTCGCCCAAAGGTTAATATCGGCGACTATTCGAGACTCAGTGCTAGTGCTCTCAGAGGAAAAATTAGTCTTGTTTAGGTCGTGAAAATAGTTAAACCACTCAACGGGCGATATTTCGTTGGAACCACTAGTACGATTGGATTTAATTGAGTTAACAAGGTTCCAAAACGCTTTCGGATTGCTATCCGCCAAGATTTTAATTTTATCCAATATATTGCTATGAAAATTCCTCTTACGTTTTCTAGTTAATTTCTTGTATTCTTTTTTCTTGGTGAAAAACAAGTGTCTTACAAAAGGGTTATTTGGTTGTTTAGATAGTACCGTCATCACTTCCCTTCCAATTGATGGAACAAGACCCCTCTTCGGGACTACAACCAAATACAATGACATTGAAAGTCAAGTACGGATAGATGCTGGAAAATACAGTAAAATTCGGTTTGAAATTGGGTCTAATACCGGAGCTGTTCCCGGAGATGTCCTGTTAGAACTTTACATCAAATAAAAGAAATATATTTTAACGTTAATGGTGGGTAAATGTCGATGGAAAAATTATACCAAAGTGCAAAGGAGGAGGGTATAAAGGGAGTTAGTCGAAAAAATGTTAAGGAATGGTTACAAACACAAAATACCTACATTATTCACAAACCGTCCAGAAAACATTACAAAACCCAAAGGATCTATGTGGACGGACTTGCACAACAAATCCAAATGGATCTTGTGGATATGAGCAAGTTTAGCCACAAGAATAAGGGAAACCGTTGGATTCTTACTGTCATATAGGTTCTAAGTCGGTATGCCTTTGCAATTCCCGTATGGAGGAAAAATACTGAAAGCATGACGAAGGCTGTCGAAAATGTGCTCATACAATTTAAGGAGAGGTTCGGTAGGTATCCTAAAACGGTACAGTTCGACGACGGAAAGGAATTTTACAATGTAGGAGTAAAAACGTTGCTAAAGGATCATGATGTTCACTACTTTTCCACAAGAACCTTTCGGAAAGCCGCACTTGTCGAGAGATTCAATAGGACCCTAAAAACAAGGATGTGTAAATATTTTACGGAAAATAGGACGAAAGTTTGGGTGGACGTTCTACCTAACCTTGTCAGATCCTATAATAATACCACACACAGAACAATAGGAATGAGACCGGTGGATGTGAATGAGGAAAGTAAGGACGAAGTTTGGACAAGGATTTATGGATATCCACTAAGCAGTTTTCCAAATCCCAAATTTAAGATTGGGGATCATGTTAGGGTTGAAATTAAACACAAGACCTTTGAAAAGGGATACGAACCCAATTTCGACAACGAACTATACGTCATCACAGCAGTATTTCGGGGAGATCCCAACATGTATAGTCTTAAGGATCCGGAGGATGGGGAGGATATTTTGGGAAGGTACTATGAACAAGAATTATCTTTAGACTTAAATAAAAATGGATAACATAGAGCTGAACAACCTTAACCAACTGGAAGGAGCTGAAGGAGGTGAAGGAGGTGAGGACGAAACAAACATTGACAATACATTCCCCAGCGAAGACGACTTTCAAGCTGGAATAGATAGACTAGACAGGCAAGACGACAACGTAAGGGTCTCTACCTTCCACGAGGAAAACAAGGACGATACATTTAAAAAAAGGGAAAAGGAGACAGATCGTTTGTACGCAGTCGGATCGTTTAACGAATTAAAAGCAGAATATGTTAGAAAGCTTTTCGTAAAAGACTACAGTTTAAACCCAAACGACGGACAATTTTCTAGAGAGTTTTTTTCTCGCCTAGACATTGATAAATATAAATTAACATTTGACGGAACCGCAGTAGCATACATCGAAAAGGATGGTACCTACAAATTATCGCGGGACAAGAAGTATTTAGAAAATTAACATAATTTCCTCGAATTATCCGACAAGGCAATAGAAGAGCATAGGGTTAAAGCCATAAGCACAATTGAAGAGGAAACCGGAGGAGAAACATCAAGAACAAACGCAGAAGAAATTTACGAGGATGCTAGGGAAGAACTACATCAGGAAGATACCACTGTAGGTAATACCTTTACAGAACGTGTATTAAGATTGCAAGCAAGGGGAAAACTAACCGTACAGGAAGCTAGGGATCTTGCTGGAATACCCGTCGCTAAGGGTACTCCAGAAGAAAAGATCAAATACCTAAGAATAGAAAGTAAAAGACTGGAGGAGGAACTAAAAACTGAAACAGATCCGGAAAAACAGCAGGCCATGCAGGAAGGTAGGGATATCGCCGAGCGGGGTATAGATAACGCCCTGCTAGAAATGGGACGACAGCCCGAATCGGAGGGAAAACACAAGTTTAGGGAAAAAGTAAGGGAAGACAACCGAACAAAATTTGGAAAATTCCGCAAATGGGCAAAGGAAAACCTAGGTGCATTAGCCGCCATTGCTATTTCTATCGCTGGAATCATCACCACAGTCGTGGTGGCCGGTAAAAAGACCATCGTAGGAGCATCCAAAGGACTAGGAGCCGTAGGATAAGCATTGGCTGGACTTGCAAAATCTGCACTACCAATGCTAGTACCTATCCTAAATTTGCTAAGTACGATCCTAAGCTGGGGAGCTAAAGGTCTTGCCTTCCTTGCCAAGAACCTGTGGATCGTAGCAATCCTAATTGCCGGAGCTATATACAAGTACTTACAAAGTAGACGGAAAAAATAAATTTTACTATAATAAAACATAATGGACCGAACAACCGAAATTATGCCCAACTTTCGACGTATGTATAGGACGGAAATTACTGGTAGTAGGACCAGGCATGTTCTGACCTTTAACCCAAACTCTGCAAAACCGGGGGAGGAAATTTATGTTAATATCCCAAAACTAAAGGGAGATTCAGTTCTCGTACCTGACAGTATGGCCCTGGTCTTCGACTTTAAAAACAGCAATACAAAGTCCTGGTTCAGAAACAACCTAGGGAAACTGCTCCAAAAAAGGCTGGAAATCCGACTCGCAGGAGAAAAGGTCTACGACAACAGTGGAGAAAGCCTACTGGAAGTCTACAGAGACCTATGGTTACACAGGAAACAGCGCGACGACATGGTGGAGGATGGTATTGCCACCGAAGCTACAAGAAAGAAGATCTGCAAAGACGATGCCGCAAACGACGATGCTGACGCCACAGCATTGTTCGGAGTGTTCGGAAAAAAACAAAGGATCCGGATCAACAAATCCTTAAAGACCACGGACTTTACGCCCCACATAACATGGCAAACGACTTACAATATGTGATTACCCTACCTGCAGCAGACGAAATCATGAGTGCACAAGGAGGAGAATCCGTAGAAGGATACACCCTAGAAAACATCGAACTGGAATACGAGTCCATCGACAACATCGATCTCGCAAGAAAGGCTGAAAACCTATACGGATCCGAACGAGAGCTATCCTTCGAACATACCACCCTGATGAAGAAATCCGAATGGGACAAAGACTCTACCATCATCAATGAGACAATCAATATACCACATAGGAGCATGAAAGCCATCGTTATGTTATTCACAAACAAGATGAAAACCGATAGTGAGGAATATGTATACCCTAATATCGAAAAGGTTAAGGTAACCGTGGAAGGTGTTCCCAATGCAGTTTATAGCCAAGGTATCCCGAAAACAAGGCTATACGAGGAAGCAAGGCGACTGTTCGGTACTGGTGATATCAGCCACCAGACACTAACCAACTTCTTCAAAGACAAAAAGTTCGCCTTGGTCATCGATCTCAGAACCGTAAACGACGTCAACACATACGGAAACGGTGCTAAAATCCAAAACACCCAGTCCGGAATACTGGTGAAAATCACAAAGAAAGCTACAACTGCAAACGTTGTATGCTATATGTTCGTCCTTTCCGATGGTGTTATTAGAATCACAAATGGTCAAATAGCTGGAGTAAAGTACTAAATTATTAAAGGACTACAGTTTTTCCATACTCAACAGAGTTTGGAAAATTTTTATGCTTGATCATCAGTCTTCGGTCCTTCCTCCTCAGAAGGTGGTTGTTCAGGTGCTCTCCGATAAACATGTTTAACCGTTGTTACCCCACCACTAACAATTCCCAGGTAGGGTATGTATGGGGACAACTTTGCTACTACACTTTTGACATCACTCCTAAACAACTTATCCTGATTCAACTCCGTCCTCAGCTCCTCCCCACTATCCACCATAGCTGAGGACGGAGTTGAATCAGGATTGGAAAATTTTTCAATCAGAGCTTCCGTCAACACGGCGTTTGCCTTTTCCCTCTGTGCAACAATATAGTCCCTCCGAACTTTCATGATGACTTCTTCGGACGCTTTCCCGAGGTATTTTTCGGACTGAGTAATTTCCCCTGCATTGGACAGGCGGATAAGTTCTACCCTATAGTCCTCGATCCCCGTATTTTCTACGGTCGGTGGCTCCTGTTCCATCCTTTTTATTATAACACTGGAATTTTTACCTCGTGATTAAACGGATGTACCAGGTCCACTTCAAGATGAGCATACTTATTCTCCTTCAGCTTCTCCTTAATAGATCTCATTTCCGCATTGTCAACAAGAAGGTATTCATCCAGGATAATCTTCATGTCCTGCCTATTTGGATTATAAAATGTTACTAATTTCGAAATATTCTGCCTGTACGGTTTAGCAATGGAGGTCAGCTGTTGGGTAATAACAATGGTGGAAATACTCATATGACGTGCGCTAAACCCAAGATCAACCAACTCCCCCGTACGGTCCTTTACAGACTTAGTGCTGGCACAATCATTCAAGATGATGAGGGATTCCCTTCCCTTGGTGAAGTCCACTACAAATTTAAGGTAATCCTCCACGTCATCCTGCCGGCAGGGAATAACAAAGAAATTATCGTCCTCATGAATGAAATCCTGATCATAGGTCCTATTCCAGTGATAGGTACGACGAATCAGAAATATATTTTCAAACTGATGAAAAAACGTTGTCTTTAGCTCCCGAATGAGGTAATGCGTCTTCCCACAGGCTGTCATACCTACGATAATCATGTTGAATGGCATTTTATTTTCCGGTTAAATAAAAATGGGATGCTTGTCCACAAAACCAGAAGTCGAAAACAGGGTAAAGCACAACAAAAATCACAAAAGAAGAAAAATGTTTAACCTGGGTATCGGTATTGAACGAGGAGACATCACGATGAGCGCACATACCCATTTCGGTTACGCCAGCGCAACGGTAAAAAATATGATAAACAAAACGATGAAGGTACCGCGGAAACTGATGTGGCTGTGCCTGATCAGCTGCCTATTGATCCCGATAACGGTTGAGGTATTTCTCGTCATCGTCACTCTAAGGTTACTACTTCAATTTTAATGTCTGATAAAACATTAAAATTACTCAAAATAATCCCAACCTAATGTCTGAAATATTTTCTTACACCGATCGTGGGGAATCTTCCCCTTAGGAATCTTAAGTAAAGACTCGTCTATCTCCACACCAAGCCTCTTACATACCTGATAAGTCAGAATATTGAGATTAGGAAGCCTCCTCCTTTTGGGTTCCTCTGCCTCACAGATCTTCTCAATAATTTTCAGAACTTCACGTGTTCTTCCTCCAAGCAGACCATGAGCCGTTATGTTCTTCCTTTGACAAAAACTATCGAACTTAAAACAAACACTACTCCTGTCCGGACCGTTCACACCTGCCCTATCCCAACATCCATATGCCTAAGTCCTCCAAAGCACAACTTCCGGTTGGGAACCTCTTCACTGGGGTTTTGGGGTGAATCCGGCTTTTCCTGACTAATGGAATCCAAGTACTCCTTATAGGCTATCTCAAAAAGATCCATGTTCCTGGTTGTATTCATACTTTTATTTACAAAGATTTCGATACCTTATATTAGGGTATTAAATAATTCACAAAAGCATCTCCCTAGGTTTCCTGGGAGGATCCTCCAACACCTGTGCCTCATACAACGTCACCTGGATGGAGATTGCATCCTCGGTTACGTATACACCATCAGTCCTAACGACCGCATCAAGATAAAACGCCCCTTCGGTGTACCTCTTGTGGCTCACAGGTTCACCGCCTCCGATAGGGTAAATCAGCGTATCACCATCAATCTTTGCATACAATACCGGATGCCAGTCCTTACGGTAGAGGCATCTCATGAGCCTCTCGCCACGCCCGTATTCTGGTGGATCTTCACGTACTTATCGACTTCAGACTCTACGAGCTCTAAGACGGATAAGAATGACTCCCTATTCTCCAACACTATTGGAACGGAGTACTTAGTCTTACCAAACCTGTCATCTGCGATTACTCCGTAAGAAAAACAGTTCGTAACCTTTAACAGAAGCGGACCTCGATCATGTGCTAGTATTTTGATACTGTTGAATTTAGATCTCCCGTTGATAACGTTCTCGAAAGTAAATGAATCCTTGGTGAAGTCTGAGATATTGGTAATGGACATTGCTGATTGTCATACATGTCTACCCAGATATATGTTGATTCTTTCAAAAATTATTTCCGCAAAAATCTTCAGGAAAACCGCGGCAAGCGCGTGGGGTGGGGGGGGGGGTCTGCGGAAGGATTGCTGTGGTTGTGGCGGGGGCTGTGCGGAGGACTTGTGCATGGCTGTGCATGGCTGCGCGAGTTGGAGAAGAGACTTTCGAGGATAGTGTGTTCCCAGTGGGGCGCAAGGGTTGTGGGATCAAGCATGCCCAAACTTGCCCGGGCACACTATAATTTGTCTTACATGAAGTATTTACATTTTATGGGATAAAAATGTAGTGATGAGCGTGAACCGCCACTTATCTACTACTTATATATATATATATATATATATATATATATATATATATATATATATATATATATATATATATATATATATATATATATATATATATATATTGTAACTCCTGGTTGCCAAATACAAGAGTCACAGGGGGTTGAATGGTTGAAACTGATGGGTACAAATGAATATTCGAACTCAACAAATAGCAAATCGATGTACAGTGGTTAACAAATTTAATATTCAACAAAATCAATGGCCTTTGTACAAGTCACGCAACGTATTGTAGCCAAGTAGAAATTCAATACGGGTAGCAAATTGTAGAATAAACACGATGTGGGACTTGTAGGTTAGGCGCAGTCGTAGATTTGTAGGATAAATTGTAGATAAGTTGTAGCACAAATTGTAGCGTAAATTGTAGCATGAATTGATTGTAGCATAGATTGTAGCATAGATTGTAGCATAGATTGTAGCATAGATTGTAGGTTCGAACTGAAACATGACAATAAAATAAACTACTTAACTATGTTACTTAATGCATGCGAAAACTAACACACAAATGTCATTGACTAACAAAACTAACAAGCATATACAATACTGTAAAACTTACGTACTTTGGTTTACACTTGTACCAAACGAGTAGCGATGAATTCAATAGCAGTTCTTCGTACAAATACGTAGAAATGTCCCTTTCAGTTTAAATAGCTTGTAGCAATTACACGTCCTTACTCTGACGCAGTCACAACTTTACTAACTCACGCTATCTAGTCTATTAGGAACATATGGTATAGCCGTTTCCGTCCTGGTATCAATCAAATTAACTATATTATTAACTAAAACATAATGAACTATTTATGAAGGACAATGAACTAATTTTTTAGTAAGCGTTTCAAACCAACATATATATATATATATATATATATATACCGGGTGTCCCAAAAAAAAGTACTCCGGTTTGATTCGTAATAACGTCTAAGCAAGCAAACCTTTTAAAGAGAAATAACATGCATCAAATAGACGAAGGACTAACTTAGATTTTGATATATTACAGTTGTACTTCACTTAAAAATTTACGGAGATATTAATGTTTAAAATCGGGAGCATATTTCTGGATGTGTCTGAAATATGCAAAAAACGGCGTATCAAATATTAATCAAGATTTTCCCGACTGAAACATGCACGATTACCAGTAAATAAATGACACTTGACAAATTGTTTATTATGAAACAAAGTCTGTATTATCTACAAAATACAAGATACAAAATACAATTATCTGTATTATCTACAAAATACAAATTTCGTCCGAAATCTGTTCCTAGCACGAATACGTTTGCTTATTTCATGAGACCACTGCATCGCGAAGGATCATCATGGATCGTTCGTAGTTCTGAATTAGGGCATGCTGTCACAATGGAATTGTGAAGCTCTTCTAACTTCTGCAACGTTCTGAAATCTTGTTAAGAACACTCAAACTCATTTGCCTTTTCTTAATCTTTTTAAGTTCAGAATAAACTGAGAATAAAACACAATCAAACCATTCAACTCCATAAGACATAACAATTAAGCATGCAACTCCCTAGAAACATCCAAAATTTTTGGAACAAAACGTAACAAAATAGTAGCGTTGATACTGTGATGTGTATTTGCAAAAAGCAATATTATTTCCTTCATTGCAGAATAATATTCATCCTGCTATAACCGAGAAATAATCAACTCTGTTTTGAACCCATGAAAAACATAAAAAATTAGGCTAAGAAAAATTTAAGCGCCTGCCTTGCATGGTCTTTCATGTACCTTATAAATTTGTAAAGTTTGTAAAGACCTATTAAATACTTGCATAATTTCGTACGTTCATATTTCAGGAAACATTGAGCTAAGACTTACATGTAAGAAGTCTAAATCTACGCCATATCCCTTACAAACCCTAACGACAATTCGCTGAAATACAAGTTAGCCTGATATGTCATCAAGCAAACAAACGCTGAAGTTAATATTTGATATGCCGATTTTCGCTAATTTTAGACACATCCCAAAATATGCTCCCGATTTTGAACATTAATATCTCCGTGAATTTTTAAGTTAAATACAACTGTAATATATCAAAATCTAATTTAGTCATTCCTCTATTTGATGCAAGTTATTTCTCTTTTTTGGGA